TCATTTTGTTCCGCAAGTCATTTGCATAATCGGTTATACTGCGTGGGGCATCAGGTGGTATTCCGGTGATCAGGTCTGCAGGCAGCCGCAATTCTCTCCCAAAGTTTGCGAAAGCTGGTGTCACTGATGTACTTTCGTGAACAGCGCTTCGATATGACAACAAAAACGGTTGTATGTGCCTGTCCCAGTCTCGTTGCCGTTTTTCCACAACTTTTGCTAGGTACCTCTCCAATGTCTGATTAAATCTTTCTACCATTCCATCAGATTGTGGGTGGTAAGAAGTTGTTCGTGTTTTCTGAGTACCCATAACTCGGCAAGTTTCCTGGAATATTTGAGACTCAAAATTCCTTCCTTGATCGCTGTGAATCTCTAAAGGTACTCCAAAACGACAGAAGACTTCATGAACTAGTTTATCTGCAACTGTTGAAGCTTCTTGATTTGGAATGGCGAAGACTTCTGGCCACTTAGTGAAGTAATCCATCACTACCATGAAATACTTGTTACCACTTTCAGTTTCTGGAAACGGCCCCGCAACGTAAATGGCTCTCCCATGGTGCACCAACATTGTACAATTTCAATGCGCCTCTACTACGAATTTGAGGTCCCTTTACAGCCGCACAACTTGTACATTTGCGGCACCAGTCCTGGACATCGTCACGACAGTGGACCCAGTAAAACCGTTCTCGGATCTTCAGGAGAGTTCGTTTAACTCCCAGGTGGCCTCCTGAACAACCACTATGGTACAGCTGTAGAATATCCGGCACTTTAGCCTTAGGGACAACCATTTGCAAATGACACCTGTCTCCCCGACCATTTTCCCATTTACGGCACAGGACTCCATCCTGAATCAGCAAGCTGTCCCATTGGGCCCAATAGCTTTTCGTGGTCGAACTCATTGCTGAGACGTCGCTCCACTTGGGCTTAGGAGCACTGGCCTTCATCCATTCCAGAATCGGCTTAATGTCCGAATCTTCCTGCTGTGCATGTTGTAGGCTGTCCTTCCACTCATTGCTGAGCTGGTCTGTCCTGAGCATTGTCACAGATACCACTTCCTTACCCTCTTGCCTAGTACAATGCTTGCAATCTTCAGGGCAAGGTCTTCTTGACAATGCATCTGCATTGCCATGAGATTTCCCGCTGCGATGTTCGATCACAAAGTCGTATTCCTGCAGTAGTTCTATCCATCTCGCAACTTGTCCTTCCGGATTTTTGAACTGCAATAGCCATTTCAGTGCAGCATGGTCAGTTCGTAAGTGGAATTTCCGCCCTAGAAGATATTTGCTAAAATGCTGCAAGGACTTTACCACAGCAAGCAATTCCCGTCTTGTGACACAATAGTTCCTTTCCGGCTTTGACAACGACTTGCTGAAGTACGCTATCACAATCTCTTGATCACCATTCCGTTGAGACAACACACCGCCAAGTCCTATATCACTTGCGTCTGTGTCAACTATGAATTCCTTGCCCGCATCAGGGTACCCCAAAATAGGTGTTTTGCACAGGCGGTTCTTGAGCTCCTGGAATGCAATATCGCAACTTTCATCCCAGCAGAATTGTCGCTTCTCCTCGGTTAGCTTGTGCAGAGGTTTGGCTATATCTGCAAAGTTCTTCACAAATCGCCTATAATAAGAGCACAAACCCAAAAATGCTCTAACCTGTGTCTTGTCTTTTGGGACCGGCCACTCCTTGACAGCAGCAATTTTCTCTGGATCCGTGCGGATACCTTCTTCCGACACTACATACCCCAAAAATCTAACTTGCCGTTTGAATAGTGAGCACTTCTTTGGACTCAACTTGAGGTTGGCACTCTGGATCTTCATGAGCACGCGTTCCAGGTTTTGAAGGTGTTCCTCAAACGTACGGCCTACGATGATGATGTCATCCAAATAGACCAGACAAGCATCTCCAATTAGCCCGGTAAGTACAAGCTCCATCAACCTTTCAAACGTTGCTGGAGCATTGCACAATCCAAACGGCATGACTTTGAATTGCCACAGACCCTTTCCTGTGGAGAATGCAGTTTTCTCCTTGTCCTTAGGGTCAATTTCAACCTGCCAGTAGCCACTTTTCAGATCTAGCGTACTAAACCACTTTAAGCCTGTAAGCATATCCAGCGTGTCATCAATTCTTGGCAAGGGATAGCTGTCCTTCTTTGTAATGTCGTTCAGGCGGCGATAGTCAACACAAAACCGCATGCTGCCGTCCTTCTTCTTTACCAGCACCACAGGTGAACACCATGGACTAGATGAAGGTTCAATAACACCATCCTTCACCATTCCCTCAATCATGGTTTCCACTTCCTTTTCACGTGCTACAGGCAATCTTCTTGGCCGCTGACGAATAGGCAATTCTTGTCCTGTGTTTATTTTGTGTTGAACTAAGCCAGTCTTTCCTATGTCAGCTTCGTTTGACGAGAAAACATTGGCGTACTTGAGTAACAACTTCTTCGCCTTGACCATTTCATTCGGGGAAAGAACGCTGCGACAGTCTTCCAAAAGTGTGGTCACTATCGTTTGTCCATCCTTGCTGGGGGTCCCGGTCGATAGATATTCGCATCGACGCAACCAATCCACTTCCTCACTAGTACCAACCAATGTGCCTTTTTCTATAATCTGTTCCTGATCACAAAGGTTCAACACACGTACTCCTGAGATGTCGGTGGTTCTGACCAAGGTTCGAGCCACTTTCCATGGAAGGTCATTGTCTACCCTTTCCACGAGTACACAACGATGGGCTTGTCCAGGACTCCGAGGAAGACTAACCGGCACAATCGTTTCCGATCTCGGCGGAAGAACAATCTTCTTAAGGCTGTACACATTCCCTAGTAACGCCCCTTCCACGAAAAGTTCTTCTTGTCCACATTTCAAAACACCTTGCTTAACGTCGATCTCACAACAATTCTTCCTCATAAAGTCTAGGCCCAGGATGCAGTCGTCCATTATATCAGCCACGATGACATTATGCAGGTAGATCATGTTGCCTAGCTTCAACTCCATCTCCTTCTCTCCACGGACGGGTATGCGCTGACCGGTGGCTGTCACCAAATTAATGCGTTCTCGGTTGTATGCGGAGTCCCCAAGGAACCGACTTATAAGTTGGGAACTGACAACCGTGCGAGAGGCTCCAGTGTCTATGGTCAGTTTACACGGCGTTCCGTTGACTTCGCCCTTGATGATTAGGCTGTTCCCATCATGGGTTTGTGAGATCGAAATCCTTGGGGCTCTTTTAACATCAGCCAGCACCCGCCCCGCAGTCCTGGCTTTTACTCGTTTCCCTGCTGCTGCTGGGCGGTGCTATTATCCGCACTACCCTCTCGAGATCGATCACCTTCCTTTTCTACAGTTCGTTTAGGGCAGCTGGATCGAAGATGGCCCCTTTCCCCACAGCCGTAGCACCTAGGGTTATAGCCCTTATTGCGGTCCTGAACTGCAGCTGCTGCAACCTCCCTGACGCGGTGGGAACGATGATCCTGCCGCACGGCTTCCACCTCCAGTGCATGGGTCAGGGCGTCCTTAAGCGTCTGGTGGTGCCCGAGCCTCACAGCAGCTCTGACTTCAAGGTCGCGGATGCCGTCGATGAAAGTCTGCACCAGGTTCCCTACAATGAGCACAGGTACAGACTGGTATGCTTTTCGAACCAGCTTCTCCACCTCAAGGGCCCACTGCTGCAGGTTTTCGTTACTGCGTTGCACGCGATCTTTGAGCTGCGCACGAAAGACGTGTTCCAGGTGAGCATCGCCATATCTCGCCTCCAATGCCTCAAGGAGCTGCTCGTAAGTCACTTCCTTACCGAGCGCTTCCAAAACAGTTAAGGCCTGGTCGCGTAGGCCTAGGGTGAGAGCAGTCATGGCCTGACTTTTATTCCAGCCGTTCGCTTTCATGATAGCCTCGAACTGGATTTTGTAGGCCGACCAGGAAGAACTCCCGTCGAACGGCGGCACTTTGAATCCACGTAGCGAAGGTGTTGTAGCTACCACGGGAGCTGTGATTCCATCCCCAAGTTTGAGGTCGTCCAGCGTTTTCTTCACATCAGCCATCACGTTGTCAACCCGATTGTTCACTTGGTCGATTCGGGTTTCAGCTTCCGACAGGCGGTTGTCATGTTGAGCAACCCTATCCTTCACCTCCTTTATCTCTTTCCCGAAGGTAGCGTGAAGGTCCTTCCTGAGGAGCATCTGTTCTTCCATACCGCGCTGCAGCTGCTCTTCCAGCCGACGGGTCTGTTCCTCCTGTCGGCGGGGCTGTTCCTCCTGTCGGCGAGCCTGATCCTGCAGCATCATCATCAGAGCACCCAAGTCAGGTGCTGCAGATGCAGGAGCTGCTGACGGGCCAGCCTCCGTGGTTAGCAACTGGCCCTCCGACGTTTGCGGCGTTGCATTACCAAATCGTCTCTGGTCCGTCTCCTGTTGGCGTTGACTTCGGGTACGGATACCCTCCGTGTCGTCTTTAGGTAAAATCGGCATATTTGATCCCACTTCTGACACCAATTGTTACGAGCTTCGGGTTCGAGACAATTAAAAACTGCCGACTGAATTACCAAAATTGACACTTTAATTACACAACACTAATTACAATCAAAAATCACACTAATAATAAAACACAGTTCGCCGTTATTTCGCTTCGAAGTATTCTCTTGTATCGCCAATTCAATACTGCCCCGGTCGTGGTCTATACCGGTCTTATATAGGGCCTCAGATAGTTTCCAGAACCTTCTACTGTAGCGACATCTAGAATGTTCGAGTACATATCGGTCCCGAAATTTCTGGAAGGATCTCGACTCTCCTAGTTCTGCTACTCGACACTAGAGGGCGCTAGTGTGACTAGTGTTGCCATGTACAAGACATTAATAGTGGCGCGCAATACTTTCATTTACTCGACACTAGGGGGCGCTAGTGTAACTAGTGTTGCCATGTACAAGACATTAATAGTGGCGCGTAACAATATATTTTATCTGTAATAAAAAACGACTTACGGTTTTTAATGTTTTTTTTTCTTTTCCAGCAATTCACGAGATCGCTCACAATTTGGCATTCGGTCACAACAGACCGCTACACAATCGCTTGTTTGGTTTCTTTGCGAACTTGCCCGTTGGAGTCCCCGTCTCTATCAGCTTTAGAAAGTATCACTTGGAACATCATCGAGTAAGTTATTAATATGAATGAGATTGGCCTTATCGAACATAGTGATATGCTTGGCTTGGTGGCATCTAGGATAAAATAATTAAAAGTTTAATTTCAAATAATTTTGGAACGTATTATGTTTATCTATTATTAAAAAAAAATCGGTTGGAGACGTACGCTGGCATTATTCTATACTTCGCTTTACGCATGACGAACGCCACCATTATGTACACAACAAAGGGGTGGAGAGCTCCCAAGCTTTTGGTTGCGCGATGTTTCGAAAGGAAGGGGATAATTAAACCATATTATTCAAAATATTACGTTATGTGAATACGGCAGCGGGATTATCAAACTCAGTAGTTCTGGCCCAAATTCGCCACCATTATTTTTTTACATATTTATCCTTTTTATTTCTGTCTTACCAGTGAACACTCACAATTGGACAAAGACCTTTTTTTATAGCAGAAAGAACTGACGATTACAATAATAGACCTCAAAAATGACGCTGCTTCCGGCTAACAGTATGCGTATATAGTAGACATTTCGTTTTCGGGTATTTTATTTTTATTTACCTGACGTGGGCAATGAGTAAAGAAAATATTTTGTCTTTATTTGAATATAATCTGGTTTGTGATGATGTTTATGCTGTTAGCCTTTTTGGCTTTTACAGCTTCATCGGTCGTATGCACAAATAATGTTAATCCACGGTAAACATTATTAGCCTGCTTATCTTCTTTCGACACACATGATAGGGCGCATATTATTCGCTTTCCATTCAGTGTGGATTACGTGTGATATATTTATTGACAAATACATGAAATAATTCATCAAATACTATGCGATTAAGCGTGGTAGTTCATGGGCTATGTGCTTGCTGGAACTCTTCAATTTACTGGTCATGTGTAACGTCCCATCACTCTTATGCCGGTAGTTATTGGAAGCACTATGCTCGTTGTTAACGAGTATGTAACTGGGACAAATAGTCCGACTAGGTAAGTCCAACTTCGATCGAGAGGTCAATCGACGGATTCAACTCGACTGGCCAGCGTTCGGGAGATTACAACACATCTTTTCGTCAGGTTCACATCAAAACTTGAAAACAAGATTGTACAACCAGTGCGTTTTGCCAGTGATGATATATAGATTTGAGACGTGATCTTTCTCTGCTGGCCGTATGGGGAAGCTTAAGGTCGCTCAGCGAGCTATGGAAAGGGCTATGCTCGGGATTTCTCTACGTGGTAGACTTAAAAATGAGGATATCCGCAGTAAGACCAGAGTAACCGACATAGCCCAACTGATTAGTAAGCGGAAGTGGCAATGGGCCTGTAGTATAGCTCGTAGAACCGACAACCGTTGAGGAAGAAAGGTTCTTGAGTGGCAGCTTCGTACCGCTAGGTGAAGTGTAGGGCGGCCCTGTACTAGATTGAGTAACGACTTGGTAAGACATGCAGGAAGCCGATGGATGCAAGTGGCTCAGGACCATGCTCTGTGGCATTCCTTGGGAGAGACTTATGTTCAGCAGTGGACTTATGAAAGGACTGTAATGAAGATAATAATTATGACCCACTCAGACATGCCTTGAGGCTTGTGTCCTGAAGTGGAATGTATATGGGTTGTAACTTTCTTATTTATATACGCTGGATTTAGTTAAAAGGTATCCATAACTATATCAATTTTTTGCGTGTATATTAAAAAGGATGTAACTGAGAATCCTTTATTACTATTTCTCTACTTATAATCAAACTTGTCATTAATTAGACACTTACTGGGTCTAAAGACGCTCTCAAAAATTATACTGCCGATAGTTAAACATGAAACCCAAGTGAAGTCGACTCTTACGACACGCACTGGTTGGGACGATGTGATGGATTCTCGTTATTTTTTTGTATATAATAATGGTGACAAACGAGTACACAGTCCACCTCATAGTAAGTGAATGCTGTGTTCCATTGACATCCATCCTCGTTTATTAATCAAAATGCAGATGCGTTGTTACCAATGAGGACTAAGATGGAATGCCTCGTCTCCATTAAAAAAGGGTCTAAGGTGCTCTACAATCACCGTATTCTCTGAAAGCGTAATCCGGCCCCAGTCAAGCCGACCCGTTCGTGCTACAACTATACGGGGTTATTTTTCAAAGAGTAGCCAAATTTTACATTGTAATTCATAGAATCACTAATAAAAAACTAGATACACAATCCCATGCAAAAGTTGTCTAAAAACTGTCTCCAATTGTGTTGACGTAATTCTAGTTGAAATAAAATACATTAATGTAAATTGAACCTTAAATGCGTTGGCTAAAGTTGTAGTTTGTAGCTACGTACAAATTAAAAGCGCACCCAAATGTTCGAGTGGGCGCTCATTCGGTAAGAACATTTTTTGTCACTGATTGGGTATCTAATTTTTTATTAGTGATCGATGTTGTAGTTCAAAAAAAAAATTATTATATGCCGATATTACCTTTTTTGAAAATACAAGTAAATAAGGCTTCTACTTTTAGTTGAAATTAGCCCAAATTGAATGTGATTTATGGGCAACAACTACTCTAAAGCACGCTACTGTGTGTGTGATTCAATTCACGTTTTCGTTTCTCAAGTTTTTGCCTACTGTTTACTTTCTTAGTAACACGCTTATAACTTATACTTAAGATAAAAACTACATGACGTGAATTATGATTTCTATTTCATTTTACACTTAACGGGCCTAGAATCGTCATAATAAATAAAATTAAAAAATATACTTTTGCTTATGAACGACGTAACCGACGACTTTTTTTATTAAAAATTGTAATAAACTATTTGCAATTAAATTACGCAAATAGTCCTAATATCTTATATTGGTACCTTAAAATGGAATCTGAGGGCGTCGGGACGATAGTATCGACCGATGAGACGAGAAAAACCGAACTGGTTGCTTCCGCGCACAATAATATCTTTGTATGTACCACGTAAACTTTCATGGCTTAAAATGTAATATCACCATTTTACAGTTTCATAGTATCCGCGGTTCGAATATTTTCGTTACGTCATTGGTAACGAAGCGTACGTAATGAGGTCACGGTCAACATTGTCAGCTGTCGGCCGGGCGAGCAGACATAGGTACTTACTATGTAACGGTAGAAAGGCTGCGCGTCTTTAAGGTTTAACAAGGTACTTTACTGAGTGTATAAGGGTTTACGAACGTGTGCGTGCGAGGTAAAATCAGTCAAAATAATGCTGTGAGGGAAAGCCTCACATCGACGGTGAGCTGAAGTGCGGGTTGAACGAAATTGGAGAGGAAATGTAAGGGTGTACACTTACTTTGAATGCAGATGGGCGGATGATAAATGAATGGTGCTGGGTGGCTAGCACGCTCCTGAGCTTGTTATGCCGTTGAATGTATACACGTGCAAGTAAAGTCTTATATCATACACTGTCACTTTCACTTTAATGTTTAATTGTTCGTAATGATTATCACTTAGATATATTAGATACCGGCCGGCAATATATACATAATTAATGCGAGCCGATGAGCTGAAGGTCGCGGACGCGCTTTCTTACACCTTTTCTCGAACGAGGGCGGCGCGTGACTCCCTTCCGGGGTTGCGACTGACGCGATACAGCGCTCGCGCCGAATCAATGAATGAGAGAGAGAAAGCGAATCAGGGAATCAATCGTCGCGCGCGAGTGGCGCGAACTAATGCATTACCACGTAAAATGACAGAAACTCTGAGATATTTTTTATTAATTTTTCTTCATCATTTGCCTATTATTCTGAACCTTCACTGCAAATTTGGCTGGTTTTTGCCGCAAAATACTGCAGCAAAGCACTTTCTTCTTTCACAGTACCAAGGCGATGAAGTAATAGATGTGGACCTCCCGACACTGGTGGAAGCGAAGTTGTTCTGCACGACCGGCGGAAAGTTAATCTGGCTGTTCTTGCAACCGCTCTTCTATTCTCTACGACCTCTAGTTGTACGACCGAAGCCTCCCAGCCCTCTGGAGTTGGTCAATTTGATTATACAGGTGTTCTTCGACGCTGTTGTTGTTAAATTATTTGGTAAGTATATATGCCTATGTTGGAGCCCATGTTTATTGGCCGAAAAGATACCCAACACAATATATACAATGAAACAACTATAGCACTTGCAATCACCGAAATTAAAATGCTTCTCCCTACACTAGGATTTTCTCCTGTATCGTGTTTTACATAAATAAATTATACATGGGTACCTACAGATCTGGAACAATTATTTCTAATAATTGTTTTGTGCTGGATTCAAACCCGCGGCAAATAAATAAATGCTTAGCAACAGCGCCCTACCAAGCCGATGAAGATAGAATTCTTTTTTTCGTCCTTAAACCCTGGGGAATTATTAATACAAGAATTAATTATTCAAAGCCAACTGGTTTTAATCTTACACAGGAGTGGAATATGCCTTAGTTCTGAATAAATAAATAACTGTTTTGTAGTTAAAGGAAATTATAGCGTCTTTAAATAATAAAATAAATAAATAATGCGTTCATTTCGATAATCTTTTTAAAAACATAATGCTAAAAATTCCCAGTCAGTAATCAGAGGATACTCGTGTTGGGAATGACCCGTTACATTCCTTAAAGTATGTATGACAATAAGATTACAAAAAGTCATAAAAGTTATAAACCTGTAGAAAATTTATGATTAGTACGTGTATATTATTAAGGAGTGTGTGTTGTCTTTGTGTATTAGGACGTAATCTTTTCAATTTGTTGCAGGTTTGAGAGCGCTATGGTACCTCTTACTGGGGTCATTTATGGCTATGGGTATCCATCCTGTGGCAGGTGAGTTAAATGTGATACGATCAAGTATTTCACTGGGACTTCAGTCTATATTGGTGTCGAGATAGTTAAAATGAGCTGACACATATCAGCAATAGGTACTGAATAAAACTACTTAACTGAATAGATAATGTTAGAGACATAGCAACTTGTCAAAACATTCGAGTACTCTTTGTCCTCAATCAACAAAAATAAAAAAGGATGTCATAATTTTTCATTGTATCGCCTCTTTTCTACATAGACTATTTTATAAGTTAGAAGTATATGAAAAATATAATATATATTTTTTTATTTGATATATATAAAATAAACTTAATTATACAAATTAAAAAGCGATAAACAATAACAAAATTAAAATCATGTGCACCCTACTTTATTCATGGCATGGTCACAATGAGTTTGTTATATACCCTTGATCTTGAACCGGCCGCTAGGTAAATAATTGACTTCGAGTTAGTAGTATTTTAAACAATATACATACATAAATCAGCCAGTATACTTTCTAAAAAGAAAGTTATTAATTTAACTATACATTATTTTTTACTAGCTGTTCCCCGCGACTACGCCCGCGTGTTATTTGGGGGTTTTAATTTTTTTGCGCGGAACCCTAATTCTTTTTCTAAAATAAAAGTAGCCTAAGTTACTCCTTGTGATTCCTATCTGCCAGTGAAAATTCCGTCAAAATCGGTCCAGCCGTTTCGGAGATTAACCGGAACAAACAGACAGACAGACAAAAACTTAAAATTGTATTTTTGTTATTAGTACCGTATATGCATTTAGTAAAACGCTGTAATTTTGTCATTACAAACAGACACTCCAATTTTATCTATTTGTATAGATGTATGTAATACAATATCTCCGGTATGGGTTTGTACTTTTTAAATAATCCTATTATTGTTTATCTAGTGCATATAATATTGCAGGGCACTTCATATCGGAACACTACATGTTCCGAAAGGGCTTCGAGACATACTCGTATTATGGACCGCTTAACTGGATCACCTTCAATGTGGGCTACCACAACGAACACCATGACTTCCCTGCAGTGCCTGGCCGGAGGCTGCCCGAGGTAATGACTTATATAATTATTCATAATAAAAACCCAGAAATAAGTAAGGTCGTCAGATTCGACTGTTAGTTTGTTTAATCGCTGTATTTTTATAATAAAGGAATTGTAGAAAGTGGCAACCAGCATGGGCGTGGCTAGGAAAGAGTCTAGTAACACCTAGAATTTTTGCTGTGTCCCTTTGGTAAAAAATATTGGCAACTCCCATACCAGTTAGTATGAAAGAAAAATTTGAAAGCTTTATTTTATTTTATAAACAGGTGACAAACGAGCACACTGTTCACCTGATGGTAAGTAGATACTGTGGGCCATGTATACGAAATATAAAATGTCTTCTCGTTTCGACTGTACATCTATTTTTTGGCGCGTAACATTCATACAAGGATAACCCCATTAAATTTAAAAAAAAATCACCTCTAAGGTATAAGAAAACATTATAATTCTTGTTACCTTAGGCTTATGATAATATAACATAGACAAAACAAAGATTATGTTTAATGTCCATGTCACACCTATGCCGATAGTTGTTGGGAGCACTAAGCTCGAAGTTGTTGACGAGTATGTTTACCTGGGACAAATAGTCCGACTAGGTAAGTCCAACTCCGACCGAGAGGTCAATCGATGGATTCAACTCGGCTGGGCAGCGTTCGGGAAACTACGACACATCTTCTCGTTAGACAAACCTCAAAACCTTAAAACGAAATTGTACAACCAGTGCGTGTTGCCAATGATGACTTATGGATCTGAGACGTGGTCCTTCGCTGCTGGCCGTATGAGGAAGCTCAAGGTCGCTCAGCGAGATATGGAGAGGGCTATGCTCGGAGTTTCTCTGCGTGATAAACTTAGAAATGAGGATATCCGCAGTAGACCCAGAGTGACCGACATAGCCCAACGGATTAGTAAGCTGAAGTGGCAGTGGGCCGGCCATATAGCTCGAAGAACCGACAACCGATGGGGAAGAAAGGTTCTTGAGTGGCAGCCTCGTACCGGTAGGCGAAGTGTAGGGCGACCCCCCACGAAATGGAGTGACGAACTGGTAAGACATGCAGGAAGTCGATGGATGCAGGTGGCTCAGGACCGTGCTTTGTGGCATTCCTTGGGGGAGGCCTATGTTCAGCAGTGGATTTATGAAAGGCTGTAATGATGATGATGATGATAGGCTTATAAACTTATGATATTCTTTACTCCACTTAGAAGATTCTAAAAATTGAGGCCTTTGAGTGAGGGGGAGAGTTTTTACCATTTTAACGAAAAAAAGTTTTGTTCATTATTACAGGTAAAACGCATAGCGGCGGAATTCTACGACAATCTACCTCAGCACACGAGCTGGTCTGCGGTGTTATACGATTTCGTGATGGACCCGGACATAGGCCCTTACGCTCGGATAAAACGTAAGCATTTCGGCCTGAAGAGCTAGACTTCCGCGTCACCGCTACCGAGCTAAATATTTATATGTAGATAGATATGTAATGATTTCAAGTCATTTCGGTTGGTGTTTTTTATTGCATTTGTATTATTATTTAAAAGAGCATTTTCTGTTGGATGTGTAATTCGATGTACATTGTATTGACGTTACAACAATTCCATTATATTTGTATAAAGATTCTTGTTTACTTTGGATGTGTTCCATTATACATTGTGACCACTGTAGGTGTGACGTCAATTCAATATAATGTGAAGCTGTTGCTTTTTAGTTGCTGTTTAAAGCGGAACGCAGTCCAGTACACTGTCATGCCCATATTTCGACACTGTTTTCAAATGAAAATATATCATGTACACGTTTTCTGTTCAACGAGAAAAAATGTTATTTGAATAACAATATTAATTAATAATAATAACAATCATTCGAGGAAGCTGTTAAACGTGATCAAAGCACTGAGAGCACTTTATCTCGAAAGCGCCAGTTCTCACAGTACAAAAATAGTGGCGATTTATGACGTCATAAGGTACTGCGGCTGTATACTGACAGTCCATAATGGAACGAATTTTTCACTAGCGAGAGCATTGAGCAGTGCTTGCAGTGTACATCGGAACATACCTTTTATTAAATCAAGCTTAAAAATCAGTCAACTTCTAGAACCTTTCGATATGCTGCTATGATTTCAAGAGAATTTTTTTTATATCAACTCCGCTATTGTTATAAGCTAAAAGGTACAAAGATAATGTATGAATTTTTTAGAATAGTAACTAATGGAAAAACCAAAAACAAATTATCTCTTGGCTATGGTTCGTGCAATTTTTAACCACAGTAATGTAAAATATGTGTAAAAAAACATGCATGAGTGTCGTGGAACACTCGGTTGGAACGAAGTTCCTTATTATTGATAAACGTATTATATTATTGATCAACAAATACAAATAAATAGCGTCTATTAAAATGAAGCGTCATTTAAAATAAAATACACTTTGACACAAGGGGTAGTGACGAAAAAATCTTACACTTTTTGTCGCCTAGCTCCCATCCGTCAAACCCGTACCGTCCGATAAGGAACTTCGTTCCAATAAAAATAATTGTAAAAATAAACGTTCTAACGTTTACATATTTTTAAGTGTAGTGGCGGTGTAAGGATATCCACTACCACATAATATGTGGTAGTGGATATCATAGTCCCGTGGTTTTTGTAAGAGGCGACGGAGGAAAACAAGGCAAGAGATGGGTAGCAGTGTCTCTCTAATAACAACCAAAAAATAAAAAATAAATACTGTGGTTGCCAATCCGCCTGCCAAGTATGGCAACTACAGCAAATATCCCCCTATGAAGCAATCTATGGAGGAGGCTATGTTTAAACTTTTGTTAGGCCCGAAACGGAGTTTTTTAAAGATAAAAATTATTGTACTTCCAACTAGACATGGGACGAGTACTCGGTTTGGATTCAGTACTAGGCGGATTCGGCCTTTTTTTAGGGTTCGGCCGAGCACCGAGTATTAACGGCCGAGTACCGAGTACTCGGCCTTAATTATATTCCAGAGAAAAATAAAGACAATAAGCCAGTTTTTATCATTATTATTATATTAGACACATTAAAACATCAGGAACATGAGAAGGAGCAGAAATATTTAGAACGTGTATATGAATCTATAATAGAAATTATTATTACTAATATTTAAAATTTAAGAGAGGAAGATCAATAATTTTTCTAGATGTTTTCCGATAAAACGATTTCTATAAGCAGTCATTTTCGCGCCAGATAATGAAAACTATCTCTCGAAGTTGAAATCATGGTGTCTCATTTGACAAGTAATCAGTAATAAATCATCAACAGTATCCGTGGGTGTGTGACTGATCGAGTACCGATACAAGTACTTTTCTTTCGATACTACTTGGTACTAAGTTTTAAAGTATCGATACCCAAAGTAATTGGTATAGAAAGAAAAGTATCGAGTAACTACTTGTATTTATTCGTATCGTTCCATCTCTAACTCTGTGTAAGGGAAATAACCACACGCCGTCCGCTACCGCGTTTTTTTTAAAGCCGAGTACTCGGCCCAATCTAGACCGAGTACCCGGTGGCCGAGTACTCGGCGAATCACTACTCGTTCCATGTCTACTTCCAACACATTATGCTCCATATTCCTTAGCTACTTGTCAGGAGTTTCCTAAACTCACAAAAATGTATCATTTGTGAGTTTTTTTTTTATTATTATTTTTACAATATGTTAAGACTATTTTAATATCGTTAGACGTAGATTTTATAGAGATCTACAATGTTGAAACTATTTTTGTTAATAAATGCCTTTAATTACCCGGTGAGTAGTTCAAGTTGCTTTTAATTTCAGAGACTGCCTGTTTGCATAAATGCAGATATATTCTTATATTCAAACATGAAATATAAACCGTTGTTATATTATGATCAAAAGGTGAATCCTTATATAGAGTAATAAGATACAGCATAAGGGATGCTGAGACTGTCACCATTTATAGTATGCTTTGTAGGTTGCTTACTTAACCACTGTGACTGAACAACAAACTCAACAACAGACTGACAGTGCGATTGTGTAATTCTGATGCAATCCAAATGTGTTATAGTTTTTGTAATAATGATAACACTGTTAACTAAAACCCATCTATCCATCCATTACAACCTATAAAAGTCCACTGCAGAACATAAGCCTCTCCATAGATTGCCTCTTAGGAAGAATTTTGCAATAGTTGAAATATAGTTTTGAGTTGTTGCCTATCGCCTGTTTTGGTTTCCCTCTATAGCCTCTTACGACACCGACGGAATGATATGGCATAGTGGATATTCTTACACTGCCACTACACGGTAAATTATAATAAGTTAACCTCAATTCCCACTACAATTACACGATCGCACTGCTGATTAACCAACATGATAACCCCGAGCTAGGTCATCACAAATAGTTGTAGTATGTTAATATTGAAAAATAGCAAATTTTTGAAATTACTTTTTATGGGCTTTTCGGTTATTGCAACAACGGCTATCTTTCAAAATTAGAATTACTTTCCCACATTATAAACTTTTGTCTCATATTATATAATTTGTTATGTAATATTCTTTAGTCCTTTATTAAATATAATTGTATATGCATTTAATACTTTATAAATATTTTTTATAAAAGCATTGAATTTACAAACCATTAATGCTTTTAATTTTTTTTTTTCATATATTTAATTTGGCAAAAGCGTGATATTAGCTATAGTACCTTACGATAATTAACTTGTCTTCAATAATATATTATACAATAACCATTTTTTCCAAGGCTAGGAATGTATTTATTACATTATGAATTATTTTAATATTTCTATTGAATATGTTACATATAGGTGATTGTTTGTCTTTTTTTAATTTATTTAATGTTATTTTTTAAAATACATATAAATTTAAGTGGTTTTAAAACAAACACAAAAAGTGAAATATCATTTTAGTTTTAAAACCAGTGGTACAAAAACAAATTAGTTAAAGTAACATATTTATAAAATTCATTAACTACAATTGTATCAAATCTTACAATAGTCAATGTTTATGTACCAATTTTAATGTAAGCTAACATAAAACAACCCTATTTAGTGACACTCGGTTCTGTTTTCTTTTTTCACAGACTGTAAAACTGAAACCTAAATAAACTTTGTTTACGTCATGTATTATTATAAACTGAAGCTTGTGAGTTTTCATTTTATTATTATTGCTCAAGTGATAATACAAAATAGTATATAAATTGATTTTGTTTCATTTTTTTTGTTATTACGAATACACCTCACAAAAATTATCATATGTCCTGCATTCCTTATAAAAATTATGGTCTATGTACTGTTCATTTCACAAATTTAATAATCAAGTAGCCGTCGGAGAAATTTCCATTTAAACTTTAAAACGTTTAGAACATGTAAACGTTTGAAAACTCGACACTAAAAACTAAAACCCAGAATTGAAAAGAAAATATGTGAGCATTGAGTAAGTAATGCTTTCTTGTCATTATAATGAGCATTATACTTGTGTCACATAACAAAATACTTAATGGATTTTTATGAAAATAGCATTCATTAGTCAGATATGAAATATTTAAGTTATAATTAAATAAGTATTTTATGTTAAAATTAACCCATTATTATTTATTTTGGATTTAATTTATCAGCTTTGTAATCTTTTTTTGGTGTTAAAGTAATTCATATTGGTTTTATCATAAATTATATTGTAAAATGTAATGACCGTAACTATCAATGTACTCTTTTTATATTTTAACTGTGAATAATCTATTAGAACTTCCCATTTGTTACTTATCGATGAAATGGACGGCTACAAAAGTTCAACATTTCATACAGCTACCTATAACTGTGTATAAAACTTGGTAAGACCAAACTAGATTTAATCATCATGGTTATGATAAAAATTACATAAAATAATAAACATTCAAAATATTGAAAGATAATAATCGTGCATAAAATTTGGTGAGACCTAACTTTACTACATTTCCATCATAAACAGCCTGAATAGAATAGTCAACTCATAGAACTTCCGTGGTCTCCTCCTGATTTTTAAGTGTACATTAATATCATTTCTTCTTTCTTATACTATTTACCATAAAAAATTCTGTTAAAATACAACTTTACGATGATAAAAATGGAATTTGTAATATGATATCTTGTACCGTACGATGATAAGCTATCTATTGAACCTGTTGTGGAAGGTAGGCATGGGTAAAAAATATCGATATTTATTTTAGAGTATCGAATTCGTATCAATTTCGATATATTTTTAAATGTATCGTTTTTTTCGTCGTCCAACCGTCATTAGACAAAATTTTGGACCTTATCTTTACATCATTCAAATGTTGACGATATATCGATATTTATCACGCAAAATATATCGATACTGTTTAAAAATATAGATTCCATATATATCGATATATTTTTTCCCTTTGCCCATCCCTAGTGGAAGGTGTTCTATCCACTATAAT